TTAGTCTATGTATCTCCATGTTGTCTTGGCTTACTGGAAATGCATTGGCCTCTTTCTTCCTTAGCAGATGCATGGTGTCTCTTTTGCGAATCACTCTCTGTGTTCCTCTTCTCTGCATTCTCCTAGTCTGGTAGCCCTGCCTATAATTCCTGCATGGCTACATGCTGCCTGTCCATTGGCCAAAACAGCTTTATTCATCAATGAATAAGAGAAGCATATATTCACAACATACAGTAGGACATCCCCCATCATCTCCTCTTTTCTGTCTAAATGAAAAGGGAGGTTTTAACTTTAACATAGCAAAAAAATGTATAAGGAAATAGTTATCAAGCAAGAACTATAGTTAACAATATTTAGTCCACTAACATTTGGCAAAATTTAGAGAAGATATTTTATCATCTATTCTATCTTTGTGAGTCCAAAGTTTTTATGTAATTTATCTTTTATCATAACTAAGGAAAACCATAACCATTCCTATGTTTTCAACTCCATCAAAGGCCCCAGAAGGATAATATATAAGCTCTAGAATTGACAGAGACATCTTGCTGCCTGGATAGTCACCCAAAGTTCCTCTGTAACATTGGTGGCATTCATCTTCAGCCCAGAATGTATAGCAGACTTTTTAATGAAGCAAGAACCTTGAAGGATTATCGTGTCCTTTGGCAAGTTCAGCAGCCACTTATCTTAGTAACCTTAGTGTAGTGGTTTACAGGTTTTTGGCAGGTTTGTAAACTGCTTGTCCAGTTTGGACAGTGTGATGCCAAGCAGTCCAGGCAAGACCAGTTTCTTGTCCAAATGGGTATTCCTGCCATTTTGGAGGCATACTCCATAAGAAGTTTCTTCAATGCCCATCTTCCCCTCTGACATAATTGGTGTTGTCAGGAGCAATTGTGTCTCATTGTCATGAAAGACCCTAATAAACCATTTTAAATGCCACATTCTGTTGGTCTTTGAAAGGTTTTAGAGAATGCGTATCCATTTGAACTATCTCTTTATATCTAGAAAACCTAAGTTTTGACTATTATAGGAGACTATCTATAAATTTGTATTTTTAATTATACAAACATTTTTAAATGATCTGTACAAATACAATATCTAAACAAGAGTAGGAATATACATATAGCAAAATTGACCTTAAATTTGTATCAAAAAGCCAAAATCCATATGTATTCCCTTCTATTTCATAGACCCTACTTTTTTCTTCAGAAAGAGATTGACTGTGATCATTAACCATTTGTAACCAACCTTATTTAAATGAAAAGAATCATTTATAAACAATATTTGGGAATGTGCGAGTAGTTCTCTCCAAACTACTTTCTGCTGTTTGAGGGTTCTGTCAGTCCCAACGGGATCCTGAGAAAATCCAGAACCATGGCCAAATCTTGGCTGTAGTATTCTGAGAGGCTGCAACATCTCAGCTGTTTTGGATGTTGGATCACCTGGGCCACTACTTCAGGGGGTCTTGCTTGGTCAAACCATATTAGTCTGAATGGAATTCACAGCTTTTCATCTGTGTAAATAAAACCAGAACTTCTTTTCCAAAGTAATATATCTTTAGACTTAAATTTTGAAGTCAAGGTATTTTCAAAATATATGGGTTGTATTAATCAGCAGCATTTATAATCAAATGTCTTTTAACAGCTATTGCTCTTTCCTCACCAGTCAAACAATTTAAAGACAACACAATAACATACAGTATCCAGACTCTGTATATTTTCCATCTTTACGTGCCTTTTCTTATTACTCTATTTCTTTTACTTTTATTTTTTGTTTTTTGTTTTTTTGAGACAGGGTTTGTCTGTGTATCTTTGGCTGTCCTGGAACTCACTCTGTACACCAGGCTGGCTTGAAATCATAGAGATCTACATGCCTCTACCTCCTGAGTGCTGGGATTAAAGGCATGTGCTACCACACCCATCTACTCTATTTATTTTGAGGACTTTCTCTATCCCTTTTCTTTCTTTGTTTTTTTCAAGTCCACGTATATTTTTAAACACACTGTATATCATTTAGAGGTGTCTTTCCTCTGAATCAGTCTTTACTGTGTATCTCTATCTTTTTCTGAACACAAATCTTTAATGTGCTAAACAGCATGGCTAAGATTAAAACAGAGGTTTTGGCTACTAGCTTTCCAACCTGGTGGTGGTATGTTTATCACCAGCTTTGGGAGCTGATCTCAATGCCTGGACTCTGATCTATGCCATCATCAAGCAGCTTGTAGCACACTGCCTATAAACCTTTTTTGTCTGTATGAGTAAAAGCTAAATCTGCCATGCAGCTGGCTGTGTGGCTTGGAGATGGCCTCTGTGTACTGCAGCAGGAGTCTGCCATGCTGTGCTGAAGCCTGACTGCCACAGCACCTCTGTACCATGGCCCAAATGAGACTGTGAGACTAGGAAGCCCACCGTGGCTCTGTTTCTGTGTGTTTTTAGAACCTTTTTAACCCTTTGTCAGGTTTTATGTGAAAATTCTTGCCAAACATATATATGGGCACCATTTGATGATGGGGTTTTCTGTCCTGCCCTGTCCGGTCAAACAGTTTATAATTCCTCCAAACAGGTTATAATTAATACAAGCCTCTGTGTATTTATTTGGGACTAAATGGCTGCGGGACCAGGCAGGACAGAAACTGTGTCATCAGACTAAGGTGTTCGGTAAAGGAAATTTCTCCTTAATAATTACAGATGCTATCTCAGGTCTCACCTTGTCTGTAGCTTTCAGTTCACCACATTCCTTTCCTTAACAAATAGTTTTCAGTTGAGATTATTGAGATTTTAGAGATGACAGGATCATAAGGAGAAAAGGCTGTAGGCATAGGGTGGAACCCACTCCAGAGAAGCTGTGTATTCTGGAGGAAGCCAAACTTGACTGTGAATCTGCCCAGTCAGTTCACTGGAGTCCAGATGATTACGTCACTAGCCCCAAGGCTTAAAAACTTGTAGTAGTAGTAGTCAAGTATCCAAAATCTGAATCACATTTCTCCTACTAGTTAGGTTTTATCAACTTAACATAAGCCAGGAAACCTTTGAGAAGAGGAAACCCCAACTGAGAAAATGTCTCCATAAAAACTGACTTATAGGAAAGTCTGTGGAGGCATTTTTTTTTTTTTTGATTCATGATTCATGTGGGTGGGTCCAGGTTGTTGTGTGTTGTTACCAGCTCTGGGCAAGTGGTCATGGCAGCAAACAACCTTAGTAAGACATGAGGAGAAAGCCAGTAAACAGTGTCCTTCCACAGTCTCTTCTGCAGTTCCTGGTTTCAGATTCTTGCTTTGAATTACAGTTCTGAGTTCCCTCCATGGTGAACGATAAGATGCAATCACAATTAAACCTTAACTCCCTAGGTTATTTTTGATCATGGTGTTTACCATAGCAATAGAAATCTAACTGAAACAGTCTATCCAGGAAGAATTCCAGGTGTTGTAGCCTTTAACAGTTTGACAAACAAGATAAACAATTTGGGATTGATGTAATTCAAATAGAAAGTAAATGACCGTGATCTTAAATTGTAGAAATTATCCAGTGAACAATGGGTTGTAGTGTGTGTGTGTGTGTGTGTGTGTGTGTGTGTGTGTGTGTGTGTGTGTGTGTGTGTTCTTCTTTGGGTTATGTTGCTCTGAGATATCATAGAGAAGAATCCCAAATAGCTAAGTGGACTGTTGTTCTCCGAAAGCACAGTAAACACAAAGACAAAAGAATACCCCACATCACTGCAGTGAAGAGAAGAAATCTGGCAAGCTGCCTCTGTCAGGTACCAAGGCTTACATTTTCAGCTTAAGTCTTGTTGACAGCAAGTACCTGTGAGGTATGTGCTACCCAAAATACACATAATAAAGGGAAATGATGACATGTCTCCTTCGTTGGTGCCCTCTTAAAATCCCTAATTCTCATTTAACCGCAGGAAGAGAAAGTCTCTCCATATTCAAGGCCATCCTGCAGGGTATTTCCTAACCACTACTTTCCAAACACTCAAGGGCATTAACAAAGGAGAATTTCAGAAATGGTTCAGTTCAGAGAAGGCTGAAGGGACCAATGAGTAAATGTAAGGTGGTATTCTACACAAACTCCAGGGGTATAAATGAAAACCAAAGTACTTGACTTGACTTTATGGTAATGTATTAACATTGGGTCATCACTTGTGGAAAATGCAAGCCTAGGTGTGGGGCACACTGTAATTCCCAGCACTGTACAGCCACTATTATATGATTCTTATGGCGTTATAAGTTTATAATCCATTTGCCTTCTGAGGGCATTGATCTGTCATTTATTTTACCCTAGTACAAATCAGTTGGCTACAGCTTTTGCTACTTTTAGAAGTAAATATATTGGTATCTAGTGATAGTTGAGAAATGTGTACATTTGTATGTAATTTAATGGGAGGAGTTTTATGTTTGTATAATTATGCACAGTAAAGGATGTGATGGCTTTAAAGATTGAATTTTAAATTTGAACATTCCAGAGAATGTAGGTAAAGGGATGTCACATAGCCAACAAATGTTAGTAATTATAAGACATGATTAATGAAACATTATCTATGGTATAAAAAATTGTTATGGACATAAAATAGTTGTTCACATTTTGGTCTTGAATAATGCTTACCCTGTAGTTTGTAAATATAAGAATAAATTGCATATTTTATAGATAAAATGACAAATTGTGAAGAACTTTCAGCCAAGAAACATCCTATCTCAAAGCAGAACTGAATAGTTGTCCCAACTACCCAAAGAGCATTCTTGGTTTAAGAAATTATGCTGTAAGATATACACTTCAAATGCTTTGTATGGTGGATGATTAATAGTTGCCTGTGTAATTGACTTTTAACTAAAATAATACCATCCTTCTACTAAAGTTCACGTTTGATGTTTTATAACTTAAAAGCATAGATTTGAGAGAGATTAATATTTTTGATATTTCCAATCAACTTTTAAACATTGCATTTTACTTAACATTTAAAAATTCATTTATTATATAATACTGTATGTTTGCACTATTTGCTTTTAGATTTCTGGGCTTCAAGCAACACTGAAGAACATAGACATAGGACATATTCAGGTCCCTGTAATCAAGGGTAAGATTATAATGTGATGAATGTCTAACTTCTTAGTCCTGACATAATGATATTTCAACTTTATCTGTGACAAGCTTTCTAGATATTTTTAAAAGCAAATAAGGGTTGTAGGAACCAGTTTGTAAATAAACAGATCAATGGGAATTCTAGATATAACATTATAAAGACTTACATTAAACAAAAATATGTTTTAAGCATTGTAGAAAGACTACTGGTCTGAGCATGCTGAAATTTCTTGGTACCTAACTAGCCTACCTTTCACAGATGTCACTAGAACTAAAGGGTAAATGAAGCAACAGACTTTAGGTATTGTTAACCAAACAGTGCAAGTCAAAAAAGATAAATTACAGAAAGAAAAAAACATACAATTTCACAGTCAAGCATGGTATCATATCTCAGAAATCTTCCAACCAAGCCTCATTGAGATGAGTGCCTAGAAAGAGCATGGAAGCCTTGCTGAAATGAAAAGGGAAATTTCATAGTTCATAGTTGTTGAAGCAATTAGAATCTGTAGAAAATCTCATGGAGGAGTTGCTGTTGAATGAAGAGTGGCTGCTTGAATATGGGTCCTTAGTTGATGGCACAGCTACATGTACACCATGGGTCTACTCAAGGCTTATTAGAGAGGGAAATTTCTCAAGGACTGAGAAGAGATTAGAAATCCTCCAGATCAAGTGCTGATAGGAGGAACTGCAAGGCTTTCTATGCCTGGTGGGCAGGCTATTTTTGGGTGTCTCTAGCAGCATATGAACATTCAGCATTCCTTACTTGCCTTAGTAAACCAGGAACAAAGCTTATGTAGGGTTCATAATGGAGTGAGTTTGGAGCTGGATTCTTAACAAGTTAGTGGCCTTGAAAACTTAGGGCCTTACATAAATTTACCTAAAACACAATAAAACTAAACCTTGAATTTCAGATTGACCAGCCCCAAGCTAAACTGCCTTCTTAAATAAAGGCATCACCCTTCAGATGAAGGCAACTGCTCGGAATCTCTTTGGTGTGTCATCTCTCTGCCTAGTCCACAGCTAAACATTTATGTATGTGTAGGAATATGATTCACAGTCAAGATAAGAAATAATAAATGGCCAGGAGGTGGTGGCACATGACTTACTCCCAGCACGCAGGAGGCAGAGGCAGGCTGATCTCTGAGTTCAAGGACAGCCTGGTCTACAGAGTGAGTTCCAGGACAGCCAAGGCCACACAGACAAACCTGTCTCAAAACACCATACCAAAACAAAACAAAATTTAAAAAATGAAGCCAATTCTGAAATGCTTCAGGTATTGAATTTAACAGATTAAAAAATTCAGAGTAAGTATTTGTAACTATGTTAAAGGACTTAGAGAAAATATATCAATATGAATGAACAGGGAGTGTCAATGGGAAATAGAAATATCTCTGTATACACACACACACACACACACACACACACACACACACACACACGCGCGCGCGCGCGAGCACTACAACACACCTATACAGACACAGGAACAAATTGAATTTGGGCAACTGGAAAATACAACAAAATAAAAAATTAGTGGGTACAAATTTAATCTTTGTTTTGGTTTGGTTTGGTTTTTTCAGACAGGATTTCTCTGTGAAGCTTTGGAGCCTATCCTAGAATTCACTTGGTGGACCAGGCTGATCTTGAACTCAGAGATCAACCTGCCTCTGCCTCCTGAGTGCTGGGATTAAGGCATTAGCTACCACCCCCTGGCCATTTATTCTCAAAATATTAAATATTTTAGAATTTACAGGAGTGCATATTCTTGTAATTTTGCTTACTGAATAACAACATGCAGTAATAAATCTATTCCTTTCGTATGTCATCTTTCCTATTTGTTTGCTGGTTTCTCGCCTTTTAATTTCCTTTAGAAAGTGATACTGCGTGTGATCTTAGTGCTCCATGAAATCTACTCAGGTTCCTTCAAATATCACTTTGAGAGCTGAGTATTTTCCTCCATCACCTTCTCCCTTCCACCCTGTGGATATTACTGGACCATTTCTTTTCTCATATATCGAAACAGCAAAAGCTAGTGACTTTCACAGGATCAATGACACAACTGCATGAAATAATACGTATAATATTTTTGTGATGGTTCCTGAGACCTGGTCTCTCTACCATGAATCCAGTGCTATAACTCACAGTATTGAGTTGTCAGTGTATGTGATAGTAAACATGCCAACATAGAAAGATGTGAATGCAGAAAGAAGTCTTTTCCTGTCTGTCATACCCCTTCCTCATGATTCCGTGAGCCTGCTTTTGTCTCAGGAGATCTGGGAGACAGAGCTACAAGTATAGCCATGCAGCCTTACATTCATTGCTATCTGGTATCAAAATTGAGAGGCATAGATTTAAAAATTAAGTAATCTTTAGAATATTTGTCATTTATTTAAAATATTGCCATTCATTATCATTTGTCCTTTGGCCTTAGTCAACTTTGTTTATAAGCACACAAAGTCTCATGGTGGAGGAATCTGAGTATGTCATCATTGGAGACTGTTTCCATGCTCTGTAGCTCATTCACCATCCAATTTTATTAATCTTCTAAGGTAATGCCACCTTACATTTTGGGGAACTGAATTTTGGAACCCACCTTAAAGCATTTTAGATTGTTACATTATTAGTTTAGTACCTTTACAATTCATATAGTAATAGGATCTTGGAATATTTTGGTTATAATCATAGTTTGAAAACAGTTAATGGGGCTGGGCATGATGGTGCACATCTTTTTTTTTTTTTGTTTGTTTGTTTACTTATTCTTGCTGGTTTTTGAATCCCAACCAAAGTTTCTCCTCCCATGGGTATCAGCCAGCCATGGTATATCATGTTGCAGTGAGACTAGGCAGTTCCTCTTTGATTAAGGCCTGATGAGGCAACACAGTAGGAGGAATGGGTCCCCAAAGCAGGCAAACTCAGAGACATCCCCTGCTCTCACTGTCAGGACTCACACAAAGACCAAGTTACACAATTGTCACATATATGCAGAGTGCCTAGGTCAGAACCATGCAGGGTCCCTGGCTGTCCTTTTAGTCTCTGTGAGCTCCTATGAGCCCAGATTAGTTTGTTCTGTGTATTTCCTTGTAGTGCCCTTGATACTACTGGCTCCTATCCTCCTTTTCCCCCTCTTCGGCAAGATTCCCTGAGCTCTGCCTAATATTTGACTGCGGGTCTCTGCATGGTTCCTTCATTTGCTGGGTGAAGCCTCTCTGATGAGTGTTGCACTAGGCACCAATCTATGAATATAGCAGAATGTCATTAGGAATCATTTCATTTCTTCTTTTTCCTTTTTGGTTTGCCATTTGTGTTTGGTTCTATCTAGGTCTCTGGGGTATCTCACTTCCTGGTCTTTGTTGGGGGGTGAGGTGCTCACCTTAATCCTAGCACTCAGGAGGCAGTAGAAGGTGGATCTCTGAGTTTAAGGCCATCCTGGTTTACCTAGTAAGTCACAGTCCAGTCAAGGCTACACAGTGAGACAAGCACCCCCAAACTACAAATTGTGGTGGGATGGCACTGGAAAGATTACTCCGTGGTTAAGAGCACTTGTTGCTCTTGCAGAAGACCTGGGCATGGTTACAAACGTCTCTAATTCTGGCTGCAGGGCATCTGAGGCCTCCTTTGAAATACTCTGTGGACACCAGACATAAACACAATGCATACACATACGTGTAAGCAAAACACTCATACACATAAATTAAAAAAAAAACACAATTTTTTTTTGGGTGTGGACACATACAAGTGTGGAGGTCACAGGACAACTTGTGGGAGCCAGTTCACTATTGTCGCCATGTGGGGCCTGGAGATCAAACTCAGGTCCACAGGCTTGGTAACAAGTGTGGGTAACACTGACCTAGCCCATGAGCCCATATAATCATATCTTATACAGATATATTTTAATACTCTTATAATGCATGTATTATAAGAATCTTGTTCTATAAACATTTGTTATAATCAGATCTTTTACAGGTAAATGTTTTGCCTTTGTCTTGCAGTTGGTCACAGTTGTGAGAAAGAAAACAAGCCTGAAGGCCCTACTCAGAAATGTCTTCGTGAAGGCAGAGAAGAAAATGGGACTAAACCAAAAACGAAGAGCGAAAGAAAGGTATGCTATTTGCTTATGTGACTTCTAGCCACTGTTTAACATTCTGATCATTATAGGAGTGCAATTCATGCAGTATCAGCTTATGTACTGAAAAAGGAATTCAGAGTTTATTTATTACAAGCTCTTTTACAGGAGAAAATAGAGCTTGGGCAAACAGTACTAGCAACTTGTTATCATGGTCACATGCTTACTAGTGGTAAGGGTGACTCTGAATCTGTAAAACTAGCTCACCACAGTTCCAGGAGTCAGCAAACCTGCTCATGTTTCTACTTAGTTACCTCTGTCCTAAAGAAAAGCCTCTTCTTTTCCTGTGGCCTAACATAACTTCTCTCATCTTCCTTTAAAAAAAGCTTAGAACAGAATTATACACCATTTAAAATGTATCTATATTAAATACATTTCCTTTGTAATCCGGATAATAATTAAAATCTTATATAAATGTATTGTCAAAGGAATAAAGACATGAAAAAGAAAAATATCAAACATGTTAGGAGGTTGTATTAGTTATGTATCTGGTTACTGTGATAAAATACCCAAGGGAAGCAATAAAGGGATATAGGGTTTATTTATAATCACAGAGTTAGGGAGTCATGGCTTCAGGAATTCAAGGCAGTTGGTTAGATTGCCTCTGTAGTCAGAAAATGGGGAGCAATGGTGTGCTCAGCTCTTTCCATGTTTTATGCACTTCCAAACTTCATCCCAGGCAGAATGTAGGGCAGGTCTTCCCATTGCAGTTAGCCTAAAGAAAGCAATCCCTCATGGGCATGGGTGGAAGCTGAGCTAATCTAGGAAACCACCTATATGTGTGCCTTGGTTTGTTTCTTAGGCATCTCCAGACCCCATGAAGTTAACAGTCAAGATAAACTATCATGGGAATATAGTGCTTTGTTACAAAAATTCTGTAAAATTATGAATGTGGTAATAGTTTTGCATATACAGATGTTACAGGGTACTATAACATCTGCATTCAATTTTACTTTTAACTTTTAAAGATTATTTGCATTGTATGTGTATGTGTGTATGCAGTGTCTGTGTGTACACATGCCTATATGTGGCCTATGCAAGAAGAGTGAATCAGATGCCTTGCACTTGAGTTACAGGCATTTGTGGAGGACCCTGGATGGTTATGTGGGTACTGGAATCCTAGCTCTGCCTCTTACAATTGTGAAGCATGTTCTCTTTACTACAGAGTTGTATGTCTAGCCGTGACACTTATTTTTTAAGTGAAAACACTTTATTTTATAATAGTTTTTAGTAGTGGTCTAGAAAAAAATCAATTTTTATAAATTCAATGTCTAGCATGTACATACATAATACCATTTGTATCTTTTCCTTTGGGGTATGTATTGGAATCAGGCATTGTGTAAAATATTAAAGTAAATAATAAAACACTTTCAGGTTAAGCTTTTGATGCAGTGACCTTTGATGATTTTAAGATTAGTATTCTGTTTTCCATCATCACTGTTCATTTGAGGTAGGTTCAGCTGGGTCAGAACTTTTGGTTATGGTAGTCCTCATCACTTAGAACTTTCTCTTCCCCTGATATACACATGTACTCTCTCAGGTGGTATGCCATCTTTAGTGACAATTGGGTGAGTCATTTGTTAACTCTTGTTAAGTTCTTAAATTTATAATGCAAGGTTGACATGTTATATGACACAAAGCTTTGAAAATACAGAACATATGAATTATATATCAATGCAGAATGTATTTTTCTTTGGTGATGTATTACCACACATAACAAAGTATCTAAAATACGAGACCTCAAAGAGACTGAACTAAAGAGAGTGAATCTGCATCTTCTTTCTCCTTGGACCAATCATTTTGATTAATATTTAAATTTGCACCTATGCATTATTATATCCATCACAGTGTAATTGTCTTCTTCACTTTAGATGGCACTCTGGACTCTGTTATGGAAATAAAGATATATTTAGAGCTAGAGCGTTTCACTGAGCTGAATAACATTAGTATGCATATTCTCATAATTGCTAATGCTTGCATTTGTTTTATAGTGCTAATTCTATTTTCTGTAAATTAGTAAGTGAATTTAATAAAACACCATTGAAATGCATTATATGTAAATAAGTGTGATTTCTTGCAGAATTAACTATTTAGAATAGAGCCATGGAGTAGTAAATGGGCCCTGAAACATATCTTTAAATGTAGCTGCTCATTCACACCTCATTAGCTCCCTCTCAGCTGCCCTTCCTACTTAGTTTCTACATTGCTCTTTATGGGCTGCTGGTTTTTGTTTTCCTGAAGTATCTCCTGGAGTACGTTTCAAAAAGTCTTATGGAGATAAATCATCTCAGTGTTTATACACCTGAAAACAAATCTCATTTTGCTTTGAGTTCATATTTGGTTGATAATAGTTGTCAATTTAAATTAGTTCCTCACTTGCATTTCGAAGGAACAGCCCTGTTACACAATGCTGCTGTTTGCTTTTGGTGATTCTTGTGTCGTGGGAAAATAACCAATACTATATATGACGCAACATATTATTGTGCCAATATTTGGAAAAATGTGACACTGGGATGTTCAACTATATTTCTATTAAAGCTCTGTGTTTGATGTAGAGTTAACTCTCTTATCTATCTGCCAGGAACCTCTGGGCTCAAGGTGCAGAGAGTGATGATAGTGGAGTGTGCTCCTCTTTGCTTTTTCCTCCTTTAGCTGGTAAGGTTGAAGTTGGAAGAGGAGGGGGATTTAAAAGGACTGGAGAAGTTATTCTTTGACTTGAACCACTTTGGGGTGGCTTAGAGTACTTTGGACCTGCCAGATCCTGAAAGTCAGGAGACATGTGTCGTGTGACCTTCCTACTTACCTACCAACTTCTCCTAGAAACTCCTTGTCCGGTCACAGCATTTCCTACTTGACTCCTTCTCCATATTCCCCTTAAAGCACATCTCAGAACTTCTTTCTTACCTCATTTTCCATTTCAGGCCACCCTCTTAGATACCTGATAAGAATAACTGTGGGTAAGTATTCCTCCTGGCATCACAGTCAGTTGCTGTAGTTAGAAGGGAAGTTTGGTTTTCCTTGTCAGTGAGATCTTCACCTTACTGTTATAGACTTCAGGTTAGGCATGGATCCCTACTGTGCTTTCCAGGTATGGACAACAAGCATGAGACATCCTGAGGCAGGGTTCTCACAAAAGATTTGGACTATGACTTATGTCAAGTCTTGGAAGAACAGGCCTCAGTGAGGGCTTTCTCTTCAGAGGTTCTTGTGTACCCTCCATTCCCATGTTTTCTAATGTCTTCTTTCTTTGATATTTATGAAAAGTTTGAAAGAATCAACTCCTTTTAGTAAATTCTTTAAAGATTTTCAAGGAGCCAAATACTTCTTCTGGGAAACAAAATGTAGTGTTCTTTCTAAAAAGTCATATGGAAGCATACTACTGTGGCTTGCTAAAATACACATTTCGGGGAGACGTCTAACTTAAAGTCTGTAGTTTTTTTTTTTTTTAAAGAGTTGTCAATTATAACCTATCTTAACAAGATGACAGTACAGTTTGTTTGCAGTCTCTAAAATAACATGGAATGTTTTATTCTTCAGCCCATAGTGCTATTTTATCACATGGCGTTTCATTTTTATTGTTCATTTTGATCCCTTTCCACTTCTAAAACTAGCAGTAGGCCCAGCTTGCCTTCTCAAAACAGTATTTCCTAAGCCTGAAGTTCCCTCCATAGTCCCATCTCTTTGCCTTGCATCTTGATGTATCGTGTGAACATTGCCTTCTGGTTGCTTATTGGGGAAATGACTTCATCCAATTTATCATGAGCAATTCACTGAATTTGTTTTGATTTTGAAAGCTCTGTTATAAATTTCCTAGATTTATTTCTTATTCATCATTGACTCTGTTTTCTTAGAAGCCTAATAATATGTCAGTTGGGGTAATCTTTACGTGAATCTCCTTGACTTAGGGTTACTATTGCTGTGATCAAACACTATGGTCAAAAGAAAGTTGGGGAACAAAGGGTATATTTGACTTTATGCTTCCATATCACTTTCGTCATTGAAGGCAGTCAGGGCAGGAACTCAAACAGGGCAGGAACCTGGGAGGTGAGAGCTGTTACAGAAGCCATCAAGGAGTGTTGCTTCCTGCCTTGCTTCCCATAGCTTACTCAGGCTGCTTTCTTACAGAACCCAGGACCACCATCTCAGGGATGGCACTGCCCAATGTGGCTGGACCTTTCTACATAGATCACTAATTATGAGAAAATGTACTATAGTTTTGCCTACAGGCCAGCATTATAAGGCATATTCTCATTTGAGAGTTCTTTTCCCAAGTAACTCCACCTTGTGTCAAGTTGACATGAAACTATCAAGCAGACTTCTTTAAGACTCTAATTGGGCTTTTAATGGTCTTCTGCCCTATTTGCTTTAGAATCTGTATATTTTCATCTTTTGTTTTTATTTTGCTTATTATTTTTTCCTCAATTTGTGATTTTGTTTTGAGAATGTATATAAAAATACATTACAGGTTATTAAGCTGCCTACAGTCCATCATTAAAGATACTTGTCTTTGTTCAGTCAGTACCTTGGCATATGGGAGATCTTTTTGTTTTGCTTTCGGTTTTTTTGTTTTTGTTTGTTTGTTTGTTTGTTTGTTTTTTTAGCTCTGTCAGGCCCATCTGTATTTCTTTTATTTATATATAATGGTAATTAGATCAATTTTAAATTAGAAACAAGCTTCTTTTACATGTCAATCCAAGTTCTCTCTTCCCCTCCTTGTCCCCTGCCCCCACCCCTTATCTCAACCCCTGTCTGCTCCCCATGGAGGGTGAGGCCATCCATGGGGGATCTACAAAGTCTGTCATATTATTTGGAGCAGGGCCTAGACCCTCTCCCATATGTCTAGGCTGAGAGAGTATCCCTCTATGTGGTGTGGGCTCCCAGAGTCCATTTGTGTACTAGGGGTCATGAGAGAGCATACGGGAGTTCTTTACTGCTTTATTAGCCTCAATTCTGAATAGTTGCCATTAGTGTCCCTG